CTCGGAATGTTTAGCATCCCCTTCCACACCGTGCGCTTCCTGCAGTGAGTCCGCCTGGACGGGGCTCCTGGGGAAGCTAGAGAGAGTCCTGCAGCGCAACTCCACAGTCAGACATGACTCTCAGCCAGACGGTAAACCAGAAGGTTTATTAGGTGACAGGAACACAGCGTAGAACAGAGCTTGCTATCACAGAAATCAGTGACTTTCAGCCAAGTCCAGCTTGGAAGTCCTGGGACAGATGCCTTGGACTCCCCCTCTTCCAGTCCCCCCACGCGGACTTCCAGCGACCCAACCCCCGACACCCCCCGTTGCTCCTTCTCCGACTCTGTCTTGCTTCCTGGGCAAAATATGTCACCTAGTCACACCCCTCTCCTGGGTCTCAGGTTACATAAGTGCAGGCAGCTGGGAAGCTTCACCTGCCCCGAGGGCCTCAGCAAAAATCAAGTACCCAATTCTCACCACCAGAGTATTGGTGCAGTTCACTGGGAAACTGAGGTACACACAGGATTAGTATAGGACAGTAAGACTCACAGGCAGCACCCACTTTGTTACAGCCACGCATGCTCTCCCCTATGGATAAATACCCTCCAAGAGATGTTTGGTGTGATGGGTTTGTCAGGTCTCAGGTGAGAGCTGCTGGCAAAGACCAAGAGACCCTTTGCCAAGGGATCTCTGTGTCACTGTGTGACCCCAGTAGGCCAGGGAGGGGACAACTTTCTGCCAATGGCCTTCAGGACAGGGGCTGAGTTCACTGCAGTGGCCCTGATCCCCTCTCCCATTTCCCTTCTCGGTGTGCAGTCTGGGATGCTGCCCCACTTCCTGCTCCCCAGGACACCCCGTATCTTCTCCATGTGCCAAACTTCTGGCAGCCCGCAGTGAGAGGCCATCCAGCCCATCAAACTGGTGCCAAAGTGCTGGGCCTCAGGCCTTCTGGGGTGGACCTCTGTGAGTCCAAATGACCCCTGCCCCGGGATGCTACAGGGGCATGTCCTTCTAGTGCGTCAGGGCTCCACCCTCTGGCTGAGATCTCGGGGCACTTTCTTCCTTTCTTGGGTACCAGATGAAACAGCAAAAGAGCCGACTGTCGGCAAACAAGGGTAAATAAAGGAATGAAAGAAAAGAAAGTGTGTGTTGGGGGGGGGAAACTGTGGACAGATCCCATCAGCATATGGGCCTTTCTTACTTCTGGGGGGCCTGGGAGCGTCTCAGTCGCCTTCAGAGTTTACTGGGTCTCCAGCACAAGTTTCAGCCCGCTCCCCCTTTGAGCTCTGGAGATCCCCACCCTCCCTCAGTGAAGGTCAGAGCCCCCAATGCTGTCAGCCCTCTCTTTTGGGCTGGAGATGCTCCACAGACTCTTCCCTTTCCAGGGTTGCCCCCCTCTGAGTAGAGTAGGCCTCTTCTGTTAACTCCTAATCCAGTCCTGGCCTGGTTTGCACGTGTGGAGGGGGTGGGCCAGTCCAGACTAAAGCAGCAGTTTAACCGCTTCTGTGCCAGCATGGGGTTTATATAGCCTTTCACTAGCACCCAGGCCCAGGGAATGACCCCCTATCAGCCCCATGCCTGAGGTGGTGGGGTGACCCACTGGCAGCATTGCCTTTGAGGGTACTGGATCCTCCTGCTCCCACTCCCTCCTCTCCCCCTTTACTACCACCACAATGCCTGTCACCATCACTTTCTGAGGGGTGACCCCCAGAAAATGTGTTTTGTTATCTGTTTCCCTACCCCCCCAGGATCCATTGTGCACCCTCTGTCACTCACCTGTGTCTCAGGAGTTAAGGTGGGTCATGGGGTGCAGGTGATGCTATGCTGGAGATCCATCATCATTGAGGGAGTGGCAGCCTTGACCCTCCTTGAAGGTTGCCAGGATGCTGATGTGCACTGGAGGAGAACTGGGGCTTGGTGGAGTCCATGGACCATTTGGCCCACACGGTGCCACTGTGAAGCCTGCTCTGCATGGCTGCCAATTGCTGCTGGTGGCGTTGCGCCCGTAAGTCTCTGTAACGCTGTCTTCAGTGACTCGAGAGCATGAGCACCAGCCTCAGGCAGACTGGTAAGAAGCAGGGCACAAACCCCAAATTGGTTGTGAGATCGATATGTAGATTTCACCAACCAAATATGAAGTATAAACGCTTCATACACTGTAACAGCATTAGCATGGAATCACAGACAGGCCCCTTGGGTCATCCCATAGATCTCACCATGCAGGTGAGCTCACCTTTGTGACATATGGTCCCTTACACCAGGGGTTCTCACCCTTTTTCTTTCTGAGCCCCCCCTCCACCTCCCGCAACATGCTATAAAAACTCCACAGCCCAAGTGGGCCACAGTAACTGGTTTTCTGCATATAAAAGTCAGAGCTGGCAGTAGGGGACAGCAAGCAGGGCAACTGCCTGGGGCCCCATGCCCCATACATTGCTTAGGCTTTGGCTTCAGCCCCAGGTGGTAGGGCTCAGTGCCCCCAGACTTCAGCTCCATGCACTGGGACTTCAGCTTTCTGCCCTGGGCCTTGGCAAGTCTAATGCTGGCCTTCCTTGGCAGCTCCGCTTAAACCTTCTCGTGCCCCCCCCAGGGTTCCCCAGTCCCCTGGTTGAGAACCACTGCCTTTCACCTTGAATCACAGCAATCTTCAGGTTACTGCCAGTCCCAAAGGACCAGGCACTTACTTAGGTCAATTGAGTCTTAGATCTCACAACAAAGACAACACTTGTAGCCAGTCCTGTAATAACCTGTATTATGATTTATTTAGAAGGAAACAAGAGTTGTTTACAGAGTTAAAGCAGGTAATCATAGATGCAGAGGAGTTAGTCTTAAATTTCAAAAGGTAATAGAAGCTTCTATAATAAGGAAGCTCTACATATCCTTTAGGACTAACACAGGCTAAGCAGCTTGGGATCTCTTGCTTATGCCTAGAAACTTTGCCCCCCAGAGTCCAAGCAGCATACAGATAATCCGTTCCTTCTGTATGGGGTTTTTTAATCCCCTTCCTGCCATGTGCTCTGAGCTGCAAACTCAGCTAATGGGAAGTCAAGAGCACAACAACAGTCTTTTGCCTTCTTTAACATCCCATAATAGTCTGTCTGGTGTTGATGGACCTTTCCTGCCAGGCAGGGTGTAATGCATTCCATTGACAATCAGCACTTCACACAAGTAAAATCTCTCTCCTTTCTGCTGATTTACAGAGCCACCGAGGCTCACGATGCAACTAGTCAGATATTAACCCAGGCAGCAACTGACAGGCATTCAATAAAGTCTAAACACATTTTTATAATTCTCATACCTGTTCTAACAATACTAACACAGGTGAGCCAGACTGATTCCAGCTCTGCATTTGTCCATGTTCAATTAAGACATGGGGGCTTTTGCAAGAGCTAACACCTCATCTGCCAGTGTCACAGGCAGGATGGGCAGGGATGGTGTCTCTAGCCTCTGTTTGACAGAAGCTGGGAATGGGTGACAGGGGATGGATAACTTGATGATGACCTGTTCTGTTCATTCCCTCTGAAGCACCTGGCATTGGCCACTGAGCTAGATGGACCATTGGTCTGTCGCAGTGGGCTGTTCTTATGTTCACAGTCTCTGTCAGGAATATTTACTCATTTGGACTCACTGGGAAGCCACAGAAAGAAACAAGGTGTGCTGAGACAAGAATGCCCCATCTGAGCGCCTGAGCCGGGTCACTCTTCCCAAAATCTGAAACTAGGCCCAGACCATGAAAGGGGGCACTCCCAGGAGAGACTGTATAAAAGGCTGAAGCATCAAACAACTTTGTAAACCTGAGACAGTTGCTTTGGGGACAATGACAAGGAGAATCCCCCAAGGTGACTCCTTTTATTCTGCTGTTCTCTGGCCTTTGGTTCATAGACCCATAGAACTGGAAGGGACCTCAAGAGGGCATCTAGTCCAGTCCTCTGCACTCAAGGCAGGATTAAGTGTTATCTAGACCATCCCTGACAGGTGTTTGTCCATCTTGCTCTTAAATATCCCCAATGATGGAGATTCCACAACCTCCCTAGGCAATTTATTCCAGTCCTTAACCACTCTGACAGTTAGGATGTTTTTCCTAATCTCCAGCCTAAACTACTCTTGCTGCAATTTAAGCCCATTGCTTCTTGTCCTATCCTTAGAGGTTAAAAAGAACAATTTTTCTCCCTCCTCCTTGTAACAACCTTTTATGTACTTGAAAATTATCATGTGCCCTCTCAGTCTTCTCTTCTCCAGAATAAACAAACCCAATTTTTTCAATCTTCCCTCATAAATCACATTTTCTAGACCTTCAGTCATTTTTGTTGCCCTTCTTTGGACTTTCTCCAAGTTGTCCACATCTTTCCTGAAATGTGGCACCCAGAACTGGACACAATACTCCAGTTGTGGCCTAATCAGCGCAGAGTAGAGCAAAAGAATTACTCCTCGGGTCTTGCTTACAATACTCCTGCTAATACATCCCAGAATGATGTTTGCTTTTTTGCAACAGTGTTACAGTGTTGACTCCTACTTAGCTTGTGATCCACTATGATCCCCAGATCCCTTTCCGCAGTACTCCTTCCTAGGCAGTCATTTCCCATTTTGTATGTGTGCAACTGATTGTTCCTTCCTAAGTGGAGTACTTTGCATTTGTCCTTTTTGAATTTCATCCTTTTTACTTCAGAACATTTCTCCAGTTTGTCCAGGTTATTTTGAATTTGAATCCTACCCTCCAAAGCACTTGCAACTCTCCCAGCTTGGTATAGTCTACAAACTTGATAAGTGTAATAGAGAGACTCTGTTACTGGGAGGGTTTCACCATGTCTCAGAGGGTTCCACCCTGGTGGGAGGGGGCTAGGCCTGTACTGGAATAAGGTCACTCTGTGCTTCACAGCATGGCAGAACCTAGAATGTCCATTAGGAGGGAAAAATCCTGGGGGGAATCGGCATGTGGAATGGACAAAAGCCCCATCTGAATTCTCTCACGTTGCCCTTCTTGCCCTGGCAGGCTACAGAATAATGTCCATGTTTTGCTCCAGATCATCCCATCCTCCCAGGAGGAAGGAAATGGCTGCTGTGGAGCTGGCTCAGGTAAGGGATTATCAGGGAGCTGGTAGTGGGTTCTGTTTGGAGGGAGAGGAGGAGTAAAGGAGGTGGGAGCTGCTGGAGGTGGTGGAAGGCAGGAAATATCTAGGGAGGAGAAAGGAAGGGGACCGGATATGACAAACCTGCTGAGACGTGTGTAATCTAGGGTGTGATGGGTTGTCACCCCCAGGGTGCAGTCTGGTGGGCTTCTGGGAACCGCTGTGCCCTCTAACCCTCAAGCTGTGCTGGCTCTTCTCACACTGCTTTGCTGGAGATTCAGCCAGCATCTCCAGGCCCTGTTATCACCTAGCAAAACAGCAGGTGGCGCCATACACCCAACTAAGCTACCTGAGTGCTTTACCTAAGCCACTCAAGGACAGCTAGAAGACAACAGCCAATTTCCCAGGTCCTCAACCTTGCACACCTGCTGTCGTAGAAATCCACAATTATACCATCTTATAGTGCACAGGGATCTGTATAATGTAAGCTCATTAATATAGTTCTCCTTCCCCTTGATATGGGAAAGATATGCACAACAAGCTTGTGCTAACCAAGCTGAGATTTTCCCCAGACACTTCACTCAAAATACACTGGTTAAGATAAAGCATCAAACAAGTTTATGAACTACAGAAAGATAGGTTTTAAGTGATTATAAGTGATAGCAAACAGATCAAAGCAGATTACTTAGCAAATAACCAAAAACTCAAACTAAGATTAACATAATGATGGACAGAATTTGAATTAGCAATTTCTCACCTTGACTGATCATACAAGCAATCCACCAGGTTTCCATACACAAGCTAAAAATTCCTTTACCCTGGCACCAACACTTTTCCCAGTTCAGGCTTTGTTCCTCAGGTGTTTCCAGGAGTTCTCTTGTTTGGGGAATGAGGCCAAGAGATGATTTCACACCCCACGTTATGTACCTTTTCTATATGGCAAGAACCCTTTGTTCCAAAGTCAGTTCCCAGTCCAGTTTGTGAAAAACTACAGGTACCAAAATGGAGTTCAATGTCATGTGGTCTGGTGGCATGCCCTAGCATGCCCTGCTGAGTGCTAAGCTCTTGCATGGTCCATTGTGTATTGTCCTTGTTGATGATCCATCAGCACTGTCTGGCTTCTTCATTGTTGTACCTGAAAGGCTAGTTGTGGTGTTACCCAGAATAAGCTCATTTGAAATACAGATACATAGTCAATATCCATAACTTCAGATACAAACATGATCCATACACACAAATAGGATAATCATATTCGGCAAATCATAACTTTTCCAATGACACTGCACATGATGCATCTTGCACAAAATGCATCATAATTATGTCCTAGTCATATTATAATCATACCAGTATGCTGAATATGGGGTGTAGTGTCAGATAGGACCTAATTTCAAGGCACAGGAGTTGGGAATGGAACTTCCCCTCTTTGTGGAACAGGAAATAACCCTCCAGCCAGAGCTGGGAAAACTTCCCAGACTCCCAGTGCTGCTGTCTGAATCTACTGACATTTCATTAGACACCACCACCCCCAATCTTTGTGGCAACAGCAAACTTTATCAGTGATGATTTTATATTCTCTTCTAGGTCATTGATAAGAATGTTAAATAGTACAGGGCCAAGAACCAATCCTTGCAGGAACCCACTAGAAATAAATCCACTCAACCATGGTTCCGCATTTACAATCCCAGTTTTTAATCTATTTAATGTATGCCATGTTTATTTTGTATCATTCTAGTTTTTTAGTCAAATAATGTGCTGAACGATGTCGTATGCCTTACAGAAGTCTAGGTATATTACATCAATATTATTAGCTGCAACCAAACTTTTGATCTCATCCAATAAGAATATCCAGATAGTTTGATAGAATCTATTTTCCCTAAACCTTTGTTCATGGGTACTAATTATATTACTCTCCTTTAATTCTTTATTAACGAAATCCAGTATCGGTTGCTCCATTATCTTTCCCAGTATCGATGTCAGACTGACTCTCTTGTAATTAGCTTGGTCATCTCTTTTACACTTTTTAATGTTGGTACAGAATTAGCTTTATTCCAGTCTTCTGAAAATTTGCCAGTGTTCCAAGTCCTAATTAAAATCAACATTAATAGTCCACCACATCCCTCCACCAGGTCTTTTAAAACTCTTAGATACAAGTTATCTGGACCCGCTTATTTAAACATCTCTAATTTTAATTCTCCAAATCCAGGAGAGAAATATTTATTGAAGACTTTTACCTCTTCTGCATTATTTTTGGTAATTCTGCCATTTCCGTCTTGTAATTTACTACTACCATTGTTAGGATTAATATACTTTTTAAAACGTCCTTCTTATTTTTGTTCATTGGTCATTGATTTCTGATAGCTTCCCTTACCAGTTTTCTACAGTTCCGACCTTCTAACTTATATTCTTTACTGTTGACTTCCCCTTTCTTCCATATATTTTATTGGGCGAGTGTTGGGATTCCTACCAGGGAGCCACCAGCAGGGTCCAGAAACAGCCCCATCTCCTCTATCAAGTTCTGGCTAGTAGGTATGTGATAAATGTGAAGACCCTGCCTCCGTCTGTCAGCTGGGAGACACAAAGTTTCTCTCTTTCTACCCTCTGATGCCTCCTGGCTGCTCTAAGCAAGGTGGGGTGGGACTCTGTTAACATGTGCATCCTGGAGCTTCCATTTACCTGGTACTGCTGTTCCGTGAATAGTGGGGTTGTGACTGGGGCAGCAGGTACTGAGTGTTGGACTCTTGCTTTTTCAGGGGCTGGTGACTTTCAAGGAGGTGGCTGTGCATTTCACCAGGGAAGAGCGGGCTCTGCTGGCTCCCTTTCAGAGAGCCCTCTACAGGGATGTAATGCAGGAGAACTATGAGACGGTGGTCTTGCTGGGTAAGGAGTCCTGTCTCCTCTGTTATTAGAAGCTGTGCAATCTCTAAAGAACCTGAGTAGTAATAACTTTATACCTTTATTCGTCATAAAAGTTTTGATAAGTTTCCTTGCCCCCCTTTTTTTGCTTTATCTCCCAGCCACTAGAATAATTTTTGGACATGTACCTTTTTGATGCTGTCAGTCGTTTTAAAATTGCATTTAATGTATCCTTATTGGATACATTAATAACTATGTTAATAACTGTAGCTTTCATGGTTTTTCTCATTTTAAGAGGAAAATATGCCACCTTTAGAATTCTAAATTAAGTAAATAGATGTATGACTCATGCATGGCTTGTGTGACAGTCAGATGAGCTCCTCTTTTGATAGGAGAGCATATAATGTTGCCATTCAGGACCCCACAGGTGAAGGGAGAACAGAGCCATGGGAGGGTAGGAGAAGGGGGGAGTAGATAATCCTGGGGTGCGATGACATGGGGAGAATGCATGCAGGAGTAGAGCTAAAAAGCAGCAGGGAGGGAAGAGGTAGTGAGATGAGGAGGGAACAGAAGAAGCTCCCAAGGTGCTGGGAGGTGGTGCCAGCTGAGAGTAATGGGAAGAAGAGGAGGGGAGTGTGTAGGAAGGGCACCCAGCAAGTGGGCTGGGTAGGTCAGTGGGAAGGAGGAGAGGTTTGGGGATCTAGATCTTAAACCCTGAATCCCTACCCAAGCTTTATTGCTTTACAGCCTGCACTCCAGTTTTATTTCTGTTCAGTTTCAATTCATTATAAATTTTTTCTCAAATATTACTATTTTAACTCTTGCCCTCTCTCTCCCACTCATTACCCCGTTCCCCCATATAACCTCCCCATCTCTATGCACAGCGACCCCGGCCACCGTTCCTGAGTCCTTGCTGCATTCCTCCCTCCCATAGCAGGGCCGCTACCCAGGCACAAATGGGCACTTTTTTGATGATGTCACAGGCTGGTAGTGTAGCCTGTACAATTTTTACACCTATAAGATTACATATTGGGGTACATCTTGCCCTGGTACACGGCTACTCTGTTAATTGAGAAGATGAAATTTGGTGAAACACACAGAAACTTGATTTAATACAGACAGTTATAATTGAAATCATAGGCAAGGATCAATACACATAACAACTGGACAAGATAAGTATAGTAAAGACGGTCTTGCACTGTGCATACTTACAAGTTATGGACACCACTGGAAACAAAGATCGAGGGGCAAGGAAGCCCATCAGAATGAAGGCCCAGATTCAGTTTACATTGTCTCGGGGACCCGACAAAATGAAAAAATGGTAACTAGGAGAGGTATTTTATCCGCTTCCTTATGGCAGTAGGATGGCTGATTACCATATCTGCTCCTTTACAAGATTACAAGAATGTCAATAGCTGCCCCAACCCATACATGGCCTTTAGGAAGTCCATAATTAAGCATCAAGCATTAATACTCATGATTTACATCACTTATTTATTAATAATTCCAATATATGAATGCGGTCCAACTGCTGAGATACTGCATAGCAATCTAATTGCTAAAGCCCGCCCCAAACTTCCTTCTTTCAGAATCCTGTGGTGTATTGCACCTGTTTGTGGTTCCTCATTAGTCTCTCAAAATGAGCGTGCAAAATATCTAACTTGGGACTCTCTCCTTAGACCTATTCCGGGAGTAAATCCCAGACTTCAGCATAACTACTCCCACAAAGCCTCAACCTAATATAAGGCCCTTAACCGTAGAAAGCTTAATAACCCATTTATTTCTGTTCACCTCCTTGCCCCCCATGTATGTTCCAAGCTAATAAGCAATACTCTGATAATGACGTTTTACCTCTAGCGAGTATAAAATTGCCCACAAGACATAGATCATAAAATCAGGTCAGGGTCAACAGGAGTGAGAGTTTGGAGAGAGTCTTGTCTCCCTTCTCCCCATCTGTATCAGCCACTAGCTGTCTTTCCACAAGACTCCTTGGATCTTTGAGCCTGTCCCTCCTGAGGTTGCGTGGCCCAGTTCTTGTTTCTTACATTCTCCTTTTCTAGACGAATTAGAGGCTGTTGCTCCTGAATTTTAGTGTTTATTTCCCCAACCTTCTCCACACAGTGTGGGAGTTTAATTCTCCCTCCCATTTCACCTGAGTCACTAGATTTCCTCATTCCCCAAAATGTGCTTTTGCAATGTCACAGTTCTGGGGTAGCTAAGCCTTTGTCTTGCCTCCATGCTCTGCTCAAGGAATGCCCTCTCGGGTATCAGGCCTCTAGCCAGCCCCTCTCTATGGCTAGGGACCCACATGCCTCTCCTTTTTGACCAGGGTTTGAGGATTGCAGCTTGTCCTCCACTGTGTTCACTGGACTAATGTCCAGTTCTTGTGCTTTGCTTTCTCTCCAAGGGCGGTGAGCAGTGCTTGTGTGTGTGTGTGTGTGTAAAATAGAGGTGGGAATTTTGGTGATAATTCTATGATGCCAATACACACTTCAGTATTGACCCTCTGTGATTGGGATTGCTATGATTAGACAGAGCAGGAGACATGAGGTGTTTTCTCATGGAGCTGTCATGGGGTGATATGAATGGGTCATTAAGGACTGGCTGGGACCAACCTAGATCAATGGAATACCCGACAGAGACAAGGGAATAATTGTCCATGGGGAGAATCTCTGCTTGGCTGAGTGAAGCATACATGGACTCATTATGTTTTTGGGAGCAGGAAGAACTGGGCTCGCAGATGCAGGGAGCTCTGCTGGAGTGAAGACAAATGGACAGGCACAGTGAAAGGAAACTATGGATCCATGACAGTGTGCCTAGTGGGGAAAAGATATAAAACAAGCAAAGGATCTAAGTGCGTATTTACCATTGCCCCCTCATCAGTCCTTGTGGGAATCCCTGATCAGTTCCAAAGTGTATTAAAACCTTCCTTCAAGGCTTACCTCTTCGTTATCAAGTCATGTCAGTTTTGTTAGAGGGCCTCCCACTTTCCTGGTTCTTGTCACACAGACAGCAAGCAGCAAAAGACCAGAAGTCCGAAGTGCAGATAATGTGATGTTTATTGGGGTTAGTTTCCAAGCAAGCATATTCTGAAGACCTTCACACCAGTTGGGTTTATCTCTCTACTCCGATGGAGTCTGTTCCCCAGTGTTCCCTTCCCAGGTCTGACGCCGCAGAGCCTTGCCTGTGTCCCTGTTCCCCGTTCCTGTTTCCCCCCCATAACAAACATGGGGAGAGGGATAGCTCAGTGGTTCGAGCATTGGTCTGCTAAACCCAGGGTTGTGAGTTCAATCCTTGAGGGGGCCATTTAGGGATCTGGGGCAAAAATTGGGGATTGGTCCTGCTTTGAGCAGGGGGGTTGGACTAGATGACCTCCTGAGGTCCCTTCCAACCCTGATATTCTATGAGTCCAATTTCCCTTCCCTCTCCGATTTAAAATTCTCAGGTATACCTTAACCAGTTATTTTACTGAATTTTAACTAACCAATCCTAACATATTGTAACATAATTCTCTAACCAATTCTATCCCACTACCCTAATTAACTTACACCTAGCAAAATTAATTATACAGCAGACAGAAACAATTAGAGAACCAGACAGGTTAACAATAGAAAAGTGGTGGCCAAAAAGATAAAACAACAGAGAAATGAGGGTTTCAAAACCACAACCATTGATAAGTGATTTCTTGTCAGACAGGGTGCTATCAAACTAAGTTTTCATGAACCATCTTATGATCTGTTTCTTTATCTGGTGGTGATGGGCACTATCTGGACAGAATTGTCTTCCTAACAACCCAATACCACCTTATTTCAGTGTGACTGGTTTAGAATCATAGAATATCGGGGTTGGAAGGGACCTCAGGAGGTCATCTAGTCCAACCCCCTGCTCAAATAAGAACCAATCCCCAACTAAATCATCCCAGCCAGGGCTTTGTCAAGCCTGACCTGAAAAATAGCTAAGGAAGGAGATTCCACCACCTCCCTAGGTAACGCATTCCAGTGTTTCACCACCCTCCTAGTGAAAAACTTTTTCCTAATATCCAACCTAAACCTCCCCCACAGCAACTTGACACCATTACTCCTCATTCTGTCCTCTGCTGCCACTGAGAACAGTCTAGATCCATCCTCTTTGGAACCCCTTTTCAGGTAGTTGAAAGCAACTATCAAATCCCCCCTCACTCTTCTCTTCCACAGACTAAACAATCCCAGTTCCCTCAGCCTCTCCTCATAAGTCATGTGTTCCAGACCCCTAATCATTTTTGTTGCCCTCTGCTGGACTCTCTCCAATTTTTCCACATCCTTCATGTAGTGTGGGGCCCAAAACTGGACACAGTACTCCAGATGTGGCCTCACCAATGTCGAATAGAGGGGAAAGATCACATCCCTCGATCAGCTGGCTATGCCCCTACTTATACATCCCAAAATGCCATTGGCCTTCTTGGCAACAAGGGCACACTGTTGACTCATATCCAGCTTCTCGTCCACTGTAACCTCTAGGTCCTTTTCTGCAGAACGGCTGTCTAGCCATTCGGTCCCTAGTCTTTAGCGGTGCATAGGATTCTTCCGTCCTAAGTGCAGGACTCTGCACTTGTCCTTGTTGAACCTCGTCAGATTTCTTTTGGCCCAATCCTCTAATTTGTCTAGGTCCCTCTGTATCCTATCCCTACCCTCCAGCGTATCTACGTCTCCTCCCAGTTTAGTGTCATCTACAAACTTGCTGAGGGTGCAATCCACACCACCCTCCAGATCATTTATGAAGATACTGAACAGAACTGGCCCCAGGAATGACCCTGGGGGCACTCCACTTGATACCGGCTGCCAACTAGACATGGAGCCATTGATCACTACCTGTTGAGCCCGACAATCTAGCCAGCTTTCTTATAGTCCATTCATCCAGCCCATACTTCTTTAACTTGCTGACAAGAATACTGTGGGAGGCCGTGTCAAAAGCTTTGCTAAAGTCAAGGAACAACACGTCCACTGCTTTCCCCTCATCCACAGAACCAGTTATCTCTTCATAGAAGGCAATTAGATTAGTCAGGCATGACTTGCCCTTGGTGAATCCATGCTGACTGTTTCTGATCGCTTTCCTGTCCTCTAAGTGCTTCAGAATGGATTCCTTGAGGACCTGCTCCATGATTTTTCCAGGGACTGAGGTGAGGCTGACTGGCCTGTAGTTTCCAGTATCTTCCTTCTTCCCTTTTTTAAAGATGGGCACTACATTAGCCTTTTTCCAGTCGTCCGGGACTTCCCCCTATTGCCATGAGTTTTCAAAGATAATGGCCAATGGCTCTGCAATCAAATCCGCCAACTCCTTTAGGACTCTCGGATTCAGCACATCCGGCCCCATGGACTTGTGCACGTCCAGCTTTTCTAAATAGTCCCGAACCACTTCTTTCTTCACAGAGGGCTGGTCACGTCCTCCCCATGCTGTGCTGCCCAGTGCAGCAGTCTGGGAGCTGACCTTGTTTGTGAAGACAGAGGCAAAAAAAGCCACTTTCCTTGGCTTTCTTCTTGTTGCCAACATACCTGAAGAAACCCTTCTTGTTACTCTTAACATCTCTTGCTAGCTGCAACTCCCGGTGTGATTTGGCCTTCCTGATTTCACTCCTGCATGCCCGAGCAATATTTTTATACTGCTCCCTGGTCTTTTGTCCAATCTTCCACTTCTTGTAAGCCTCTTTTTTGTGTTTAAGATCAGCAAGGATTTCACTGTTAAGCCAAGCTGGTCGCCTGCCATATTTACTATTCTTTCTACACATCGGGATGGTTTGTCCCTGTAACCTCAATAAGGATTCTTTAAAATACGGCCAGCTCTCCTGGACTCCTTTCCCCTTCATATTCTTCTCCCAGGGGATCCTGCCCATCAGTTCCCTGAGGTTGTCAAAGTCTGCTTTTCTGAAGTCCAGGGTCCGTATTCTGCTGCTCTCCTTTCTTCCCTGTGTCAGGATCCTGAACTCGACCATCTCATGGTCACTTCCTCCCAGGTTCCCATCCACTTTTGCTTCCCCTACTAATTCTTCCCGGTTTGTGAGCAGCAGGTCAAGAAGAGCTCTGCCCCTAGTTGATTCCTCCAGCGCTTGTGCTAGGAAATTGTCCCCTACGCTTTCCAAAAACTTCCTGGATTGTCTGTGCACTGCTGTATTGCTCTCCCAGCAAATATCAGGGTGATTGAAGTCTCCCATAAGAACCAGGGCCTGTGATCTAGTAACTTCCGTTAGTTGCTGGAAGAAAGCCTCGTCCACCTCATCCCTGTGGTTATAGCAGACTCCCACCATGACATCACCCTTGTTGCTCACACACGCTTCTAAACTGAATCCAGAAACACTCAAGTTTTTCTGCAGTTTCATACTTGAGCTCTGAGCAGTCATACTGCTCTCTTACATACAATGCAACTCCCTCACCTTTTCAGCCCTGCCTGTCCTTCCTGAACAGTTCATATCCATCCATGACAGTACTCCAGTCATGTGAGTTATCCCACCAAGTCTCTGTTATTCCAATCACATCATAATTCCTTGACTGTGCCAGGACTTCCAGTTCTCCCTGCTTGTTTCCCAGGCTTCTGGTCGGGGCGGCAGATAGATGACTCAGTCTCCCTAAGGAGAGAGTCCCCGACCACCACCACCCACCTCCTTCTCTTGGGAGCGGTGGTCGTGGAACCCCCATCCCTAGGACAGTGCATCTCATGCCTTCCAATCAGCGGAGTCTCCTTCTGTTCCCTTCCCTCAGATGTATCATCTAGTCCACTCTTCGCAGTAGTACCTGTGGAGAGAACATGGAAACGGTTGCTTACCTGTATCTGCGTTGCTGGTACATGGACGCTCCCCTTTCTTCTTCTGGAGGTCACATGCTGCCAAATTTCTTCACCGTCCTCCTGTCCCCGCAATGCAGCCTGCTCTGAATCTTCAGAACGTTGTGTCCATAGAAGCATATCCTGACGTCTGTCCAGGAAATCTTCAGTTTCTCTTATGCAACACAGGGTCGATACTTGTTTCTTCAGACCTTGAACCTTCTCTTCCAATATGGAGACCAGCTTGCACTTAGTACAGACAAAGTCACTTCTGTCCTCTGGAAGAAAGACAAACATGCCACATCCAGTGCACATGTCACAACAGCTGAACGCTCCCCATCATTATTACCTTCCTTCTACGAGCTTCCTCAGGACTTGCAGTAACTACTTAGAGAAGCCGGCAAGAGGTAAGCCTCAGTGGGCTCTCCCTGGGCGAACTCCCAGGCAAACTCCCTCTGTTAGTCTCTCTGCTGTTCGCCGCTCCACTGGTTCGCAGCTGACTGGCTTTTTATAACAGTCAGGCCCACTCAAGGCTCACTTGGAATGTGATGTGACTGTACGCTTCCCAGCTTATGGCTGCCCCTGCTGCTTAGCCAAAGTCCTTAGCCTAAGAACAAGCCCTCAGACTATCTTAAGGAGAGAAGGCCCATACACAGGCAGACTGTAATTTTGATTCTTTGTTTTTATACCCCCTGTAACTAGCTAAGTGATAAAAATACACCTCAGTTCTTAAAGTATAGGCTTATACTTACAAGTATACTTACAGGCAGGACTGAATAATAGTGGGTTCTACCCCTTCCCCCATTCTGTGTCTGTCTTGTCTATTTAGATTGTAAATTTTTCAGGGCATGGACCATCTACTATTCTGTGTTCGTACTTTGCCTAGCACAATGGGGACCCACTTTTAGTTGGTCCTTAGGCACTAAGGTAATGAATATTGTCACGGAGTCCCTGGGTGATGCTCTGGAACTGCTCCCTATGAAGCCAATCAGGACTCTGGTGAAGTCTCCTCTCTGTGAGCAGACGGTCTCCAGGGCAAGAAGCTCACACAGCTTCCACCTTCCTGGGTCTGACCTCGGAGCATTCAGCATCCTCTGCCCCTCTGTGTGCTTCCCACAGCGAGTCCGCCCAGGCGGGGTCCTGGGGAAGCCAGAGGGTCTTGCACCCCAACTTCGCAGTCAGACATGACTCTTAGCCACCAGTAAAACAGAGGTTTATTAGATGTCAGGAACACGGTCTAAAACAGAGCTTGTAGGCACAGAGAACAGGACCCTTCAGCCGGGTCCATTTTGGGGGGCAGTGAGCCAAACAACCATGTCTGCACTTCATTCCTCATCCCCAGCCAGCCCAAACTGACTCACCCTCCAGCCCCTCCTCCTCTGGGATTTGTCCCTTTCCTGGGACAGGGGGTCACCTGATTCCTTTATTCTCCAACCCTTTAGCTATCACCTTGCAGGGGGGGAAGGGCCCAGACCATTGATTGATAGGAGACAGAGTGTCGGCCATTTATGTACACTGGCCCCTTGCTCTGCAACAATTACACTGCCTTATCCCACCACCTAGAGACTTACAAAATGCATAGGGGAAACTGAGGCACCCCTACAGTATTCAGAGGAAACATTAAGAACGGTCCCACTTTGTCACAAATATAATTTATAATAATAATGCATCTGATGAAGTGAGCTGTAGCTCACAAAAGCTTATGCTCAAATAAATTTGTGAGTCTCTAAGGTGCCACAAGTCCTCCTTTTCTTTTTGCGGATACAGACTAACACGGCTGCTACTCTGAAACCTATAATAATAAATCTCCTGCCACTTTGAGCCAAGGCAGCTGGTCTTGGGATGTTACTGCTTAAAAATAAGCTGGGGTTAAAACCATGGAATATTCCTTGTGACATGTATCCCACAGATTCCACTGACCTCCCTTGTTTTCTTTGCCTGGAGTAGGGTTTCCAGTTTCCAAACCTGATGTGATCTCGCAGCTGGAACGAGGGGAAGAGCCGTGGGTCCCAGGCCCCCACTGCTCTGAGAAAGAAGTGCTCCCAAGAGCTGCCTGCACAGGTAGGGAATTGGTTAAACCAACTCAAAAACTGTCTGTGAATACAGGAAACATTTGGGATGCCCTACAAAGACCTTGTGAGCTCTTCAAGTTTAGGATTGTTCCCTGCAGATGTGGAATCATTAGGCAGATGTCACTCATGGCTTCCCACCTATCCTGACTGAAAACTGGCAGCAGGTCCCTCCCCGATCTCGCTTTCCCCTGAGTGTTCTGGTGAGATGCAGACCAAAACTGATCCCTTCCTCTCTCCTCTGGGGAGAGGTTTGGGGAAAATCAGCTCCTTATAGGTTTGATCTCTCCTGCACATATTTTGGTTTGTTCATGCCTTTCTCTATTCCTGTCTCTGAGATTTCCTTTCTCTCCGGCACAGAGATTGACCTATGTCTGGATTCTTCCCATCTCCCATCAGGTGATGGGATGGTGAGTGAGAATGAGGAGGAGAAACCCCAGCAGGAAGATGCTGAGCAAGTAGAACCATATGGGACGTTATCAGGAAGATCCAAAGGGAATGATTCCGGGAGTTGTGCACTCGCAGAAAAAGCAAAAGCCTTTGAGACTCAGCAGAGGCCAGAGGAAAACTTCAGTAGCCACTCAGACCTTATTACATGCGACAGAATCAATTTGGAAGAGACATCCTACACATGCCATGAGTGTGGGAAAAGCTTCAGTGGGAGCTCAGACCTTTTCACACATCAGATAATCCACAGAAGAGAGAGACCCTACATGTGTTCTGACTGCGGGAAAAGCTTCAGTCAGAGCTATACCCTAATCAGACATTGGAGAACCCACACTGGAGAGAAACCCTACACGTGCCCTGAGTGTGGGAAAAGCTTCAATCAGAGCTCAAACCTTATCAGACATCAGAAAATCCACACAGGTGAGAAACCTTATGAATGCTCTGAATGTGGGAAATGCTTCATTCATACTTCAGCCCTCATCTCACATCAGAAAATCCACACAGGAGAGATGCCCTATGCCTGCTCTGAGTGTGGGAGAAGCTTCAATCAGAGCTCTGACTTGATCACGCATCGTAGGATCCACACAGGCGAGAGGCCCTACATGTGCTCTGTGTGCAGGAAAAGCTTCAATCAGAGCTCAATCCTTCTTAGACATCATAAAATCCACATGAGAGAGAACTATAATAAATGCCTTGACTAGGGCTGGCCAAAGATTTTTCTTTAAAAAAAAAAATCATATTTGCTAATTCCCACAGAGTGATCTTTGCACCATCTTCACCGTGGTGTCTCAGCTCCCCCAGAGGAGTTGCCTGCTTCTGCCTTTTGCAGCTCACCCTTCTTTGGGGTCAGTCCTGTGATCTTTTCTATCAACTCCTTTCTTTTTGAGTTGAAGGAGTGTGTGTCCCTCCAGCCAGGAATCTTCATCAGCTCCAAGTGGGGGGGAGAGGTTTGATCCCAACAAGCTACACTGAGGCAAAAACTACCCGTGCCCTCCATCCACTAGGACTGTACATAGCGTTGGCAGCTCAAGTTAGTGATCTTGGTGTAAAAAGACAATTATTGTTGTAGAGCAGATACAGCCCAGGTGCAGTGGTTGGCATTAGCTTTCCCCTTGGCCTGACCTAAACTCCATCACTTTTCCTAGTCTAAACAAACCCTGAGCATCCCAGTTATACTGTTCCCCCACTTCAACACAATTGTTAGTCATCAGGTTCCCCCTTTGGGAACAAATTGTTTGGTTCGCAGTTGCTCTGATGTTGCTTCAGGTTGTGCTGGAGAGCAGATATTTTTACCACCATTTTCCTCACTTAAAATATATTGAACTATAACAAAGAGTAGGAACAGGGCAAGGATAGAGAAAAATGTCATCTCACCCTCTGTAACAGCAGAAGAAGATAGGATAAGTCAGAGGGATTCCCTTATTCCCCATCACCATCCCAATCCCCCTGTTGTTCAGTTGGTTAGGTCAATATTTTTTCTAAAGGGCTGGGAAGAGGATTCCCTGGTAAATGACTTGGAACTAAGCAAAATACCCAAGCATCTGGCTCCCAAAGCAGTTGTGACCCAGGCCCTGCGGGAGATGGCTCCTGAAGATAGCTCCTTCCTAATCAGGTACATGTTGCCTATTATTTGGGAAATGCAATCCCTAGCTAGGTAGGAATGAGAAAAATGGACATTTCTGTTCAGCTCACCCCTGGGAGATGCTGCAAATGTGTAGAAAATGAAATCCATGTTGAATGTGATAGAGCTGCAGAAAGATACCTATTGTTAATAGCTACCTGACTTTTGGTGTCTTACAGGGATTCTAAGACACACCTGAATTTAGTCCCTAATTTAAACCTGTGCCACCAGATTAAAGAAATAAATGTGCATTTTGGGGGGAGTTATACCTCACTACCGCTACTGGTATGTTATACTGTTGGTGAAGGATTCTACATCAGAGAAGTGTAAAATAAATCTTTGACCTTACTTGGAGTAGACAAGAACTCAGATAGAAATTGCAGGTACGAGTGGTTGATTTTCACCCCAGTGATGGACGCTTTGGTGACCTGTGGCCCAGGTAAACTGTTTTTAGAACGCTGCTCCCTAGTTAAGTGGCATTGATCACACTCCTAAAGGATGCCGTGATTAAACTGGGAACAACTGTCTTTTTCACCTGATTCCTTCAGAGCCGTTCCATGCCTATGGGTCCCAATTTGGCTTCCTTGTTGGACAAGAAGCACTTCCATGCTGAGAAAATGATGGTAGCCAATGAGGGAGAATATCAGATTCCAAGTTCAGACTGCAGGATACATGAACGCTGAGTCCTGACTCTGTGGTTTGGTCTCTTAGTTTTGCTCTTGAGTCTAACACATTTGTATCACTTCTCCACCTCCTGCTACTGTGGAATATTAGAAAGTGTGAAAATAGAGCACAGGTGGTTTTTCTCATGATGCAACCTTCCCACGTAGTGAGAGACCCCTTCCACCCACACTTCTGGGAGACAACCCTGGGAGACATGAACTCACAGAAATGGAAGGCTCCTAGGTTATTGTAGAATGTGACTTCACACAAAGCTCACTGGGTAGAAATGGGAATTAAGAGAAAACTGCCCGAAAGGTTTATATTTTGTAATCTTTGAATAAGTTGTTACCAGCGACAATGAAATTAAACATGAAGTTAGTGTAATTAGTGTAAACTTTTCAGTGTTACAATATGATTCACATTTCCTTCTCATTCTCTCCCTGCCCACTCCTACTGTATTGGAAATGGTGGCTAATCTTGAAATTAAAACCTCACTCCAAAGGAATCAGAGTGGGGGAATATGTGAGAGAAATAGCATGTATGAGGATAGAGACCCAGTCTGGACTGTAATTATTTCTATTTCAAATGGAATTCATTTTGATAAATTTTAAAATAAATCTGCTGTTAAGAGGAAAATTACTTGAAACAAGATGTGTAACCTTTTACCCATCCCCTACAGTGCTGATGTGTTTTTGTTTGTTTGTTTGTCTCTCCTCCGGTGGTTGATTTTTTAATAAAAGAATGGTTTTGGTTTGAAAGCTATCTTCGTTCCATTAACTGAAAGCAAACAGAACCCTGCAAAGCAATAGGCGATTTTCTTAAACCGTCACAGTGCATCGTCTCCACCAATCACAATCCCCCCTACCATTACAAGCACTGCACTCCTGTGCATAGCAAAAAATATTCGTGGCTTTCAGCTTCAAATTGCTGCTTCAAGGTATCCCTGATCCTTATGGCCCCGCGCTCCGCCCCTCTAATAGCCCTGGTCTCTGGCTCTTCAAATTCACCCTCCAGGTGCTGAGCCTCAGTGGTCCAGCCCTGAGTGAAGCTTTCACCCTTCCCTTCACAAATAAATGGCCAAAAGCACACTCAACAGTCATTCTGCACTTGCTCAGCCTGTTGTAGAACCCAAGGTGCCCCACGTATGGCTTCATAAGCCACAGCATTAAGGGGTAGACAGGGTCTCTTAGAATCACAGTGGACATTTTGACTTCCCTACGGTGATCTTCTGCTCCAGGAAGAAAGTCTCTGCTTCCAGCTTCCTGAACAGGCCAGTGTTCCGAAAGATGAATGCGTCATGCCCCTTACCGGGTCAGCCTGCATTAATGGCTGTGAAATGCCCACGGTGATCCACAAATGCCTGGAGAACCATAGAGAAGTACCCCTTCTGGTAAATGTACTCCGTGACTAGGTGGTCCGGTGCCAGAATTGGAATAGGTGTGTCATCTTTCCCCCTCCGCAGTTAGGGAAGCCCATTTGTGTGAAGCCATCCACAATGTCACGCACGTTGCCCAGAGTCGCAGTCTTTCAGAGCAGGATGCAATTAATGGCCCTGCACACTTTTGTCAACACATGTCCAGCGGTCGACTTTCCCACCTCAAACTGATCAGCAACCGATTGGTAGCAGTCGGAGAGCAATTGCCACGCACTTCTCCAATAACAGGGCAGCTCTCATTCGTGTGTCCTTGTGCTGCAGGGTTGGGGCGAGCTCCTCACAGAGTCCTATGAATGTGGCTTTCCCCATCCAAAAGCAGCCACTGCTCGTCATCCCAGATTTGCATGATGATGTGATCCCACCAGTCAGTGCTTGTTCCCTGAGCCCAAAAGCGGCGTTCCACTGTGGTCAGCACCTCTGTGAATGTCACAAGCAGTCTCGTGTCACAGCTAGTACGTGGGGTGAGATCAACGTCGAACTCCTCTTGCCTTTGTAGTTTAAGGAGTAACTCCACTGCCACTCGTGATGTGTCAGTAGGAGGGAGCAGCATATTGGTCAACGGCGCGGGATCCATTCCTGCTGCCCGAAGAGGCAGAGCGTGCAGTAGACCAACCATTGAAAGATGGCGCCAAATGTGGACGGAAGCACAGGGATTGCTGGGATGCAAAGCAAGGCATCACGGGGCATTGGGATAGGTCCTGGGATGCCCCGTGACCCCCTCCACCTTCCCACAACTCTTAGCGGCAGAAGAGGAAGAGATGCTCAGTGGGACAGCTGCCCAGAGTGCACCGCTCCCAATACCGCAGCAAGTGCCGCAAGTGTGAACACACTATTGTGCAGGCAGCTGACAGTGTGAACACACAACAGCGGTTTCCCTTCAGCGCTCTCTGAGCAGCACTGTGACTCCTGGTTTTGTAATTCTGCCAGTGTAGACATAGCCTCAGAGAGACAGGCTGCCAGGATCCCAGGACTGATCCCCTCTGGGGAATGAAGCACAACGTCGACAGGCTATGCAGCCTTCACTCGTCTCCTGTACCTGTAAACCCTGCTAGCCCAACGTGCTGGACCATCTATGCCAGTACCTGGTTCCTCAACTGCAGGTACAGTTCCTGCTCCAGGGGAATCCAAAGGCCGAGAGGTGCAGAGATCCAACCCCTTATAACCTTAGAAACGTTTTGTTCCTTTTTCTATTTTTTGTCTCTCTTTTTATGAATTTGGAGACCTCTCAGCCTTCTGTTAGATTGGGGTGAAACCGTGCGACTCAGTGGGGGTGAGTGTGTTAACACCTCTGAAATCTACAAAGGGAAGATGTTAGGAAAACAGTTCCCCAAATCTTAATAGCCTGAAAACTCTGCCCTATGAAATGACTGAATGCATGCTCCTCATCCCTCCTGACCCCCCCCCCAGCCCCTGTCCCAGCCCAGAGCCTGCACCCAGCACCCAAATTACATCCCAGAGACTGCACCCAGCACCCCCTCCTACACCCACACCACTTGCCCCAGCCCAGAGCCTTCACCCAAACTCTGTCCCAAAACCAATACCCCTCACCCTCTCCTGCACCCCCACCCCCTCATAGAATCATAGAATATCAGGGTTGGAAGGGACCCCTGAAGGTCATCTAGTCCAACCCCCTGCTTGAAGCAGGACCAATTCCCAGTTAAATCATCCCAGCCAGGGCTTTGTCAAGCCTGACCTTAAAAACCTCTACGGAAGGAGATTCTATCACCTCCCTAGGTAACGCATTCCAGTGTTTCACCACCCTCTTAGTGAAAAAGTTTTTCCTAATATCCAACCTAAACCTCCCCCACTGCAACTTGAGACCATTACTCCTCGTTCTGTCATCTGCTACCATTGAGAACAGTCTAGAGCCATCCTCTTTGGAACCCCCTTTCAGGTAGTTGAAAGCAGCTATCAAATCCCCCCTCATTCTTCTCTTCTGCAGGCTAAACAATCCCAGCTCCCTCAGCCTCTCCTCATAAGTCATGTGTTCCAGACCCCTAATCATTTTTGTTACTTTTCGCTGGACTCTCTCCAATTTATCCACATCCTTCTTGTAGTGTGGGGCCCAAAACTGGACACAGTACTCCAGGTGAGGCCTCACCAATGTCGAATAGAGGGGAACGATCATGTCCCTCGATCTGCTGGCTATGCCCCTACTTATACATCCCAAAATGCCATTGGCCTTCTTGGCAACAAGGGCACACTGCTGACTCATATCCAGCTTCTCGTCCACTGTCACCCCTAGGTCCTTTTCCACAGAACTGCTGCCTAGCCATTCGGTCCCTAGTCTGTAGCTGTGCATTGGGTTCTTCCGTCCTAAGTGCAGGACCCTGCACTTATCCTTATTGAACCTCATCAGATTTCTTTTGGCCCAATTCTCCAATTTGTCTAGGTCCTTCTGTATCCTATCCCTGACCTCCAGCGTATCTACCACTCCTCCCAGTTTAGTATCATCCGCAAATTTGCTGAGAGTGCAATCCACACCATCCTCCAGATCATTTATGAAGATATTGAACAAAACCGGCCCCAGGACCGACCCTTGGGGCACTCCACTTGATACCGGCTGCCAACTAGACATGGAGCCATTGATCACTACCCGTTGAGCCCGACAATCTAGCCAGCTTTCTACCCACCTTATAGTGCATTCATCCAGCCCATACTTCTTTAACTTGCTGACAAGAATACTGTGGGAGACCGTGTCAAAAGCTTTGCTAAAGTCAAGAAACAATACATCCACTGCTTTCCCTTCATCCACAGAACCAGTAATCTCATCATAAAAGGCGATTAGATTAGTCAGGCATGACCTTCCCTTGGTGAATCCATGCTGGCTGTTCCTGATCACTTTCCTCTCATGCAAGTGCTTCAGGATTGATTCTTTGAGGACCTGCTCCATGATTTTTCCAGGGACTGAGGTGAGGCTGACTGGCCTGTAGTTCCCAGGATCCTCCTCCTTCCCTTTTTTAAAGATTGGCACTACATTAGCCTTTTTCCAGTCATCTGGGACTTCCCCGGTTCGCCACGAGTTTTCAAAGATAATGGCCAATGGCTCTGCAATCACAGCCGCCAATTCCTTCAGCACTCTCGGATGCAACTCGTCCGGCCCCATGGACTTGTGCACGTCCAGCTTTTCTAAATAGTCCCTAACCACCTCTATCTCCACAGAGGGCTGGCCATCTCTTCCCCATTTTGTGATGCCCAGCGCAGCAGTCTGGGATCTGACCTTGTTCGTGAAGACAGAGGCAAAAAAAGCATTGAGTACATTAGCTTTTTCCACATCCTCTGTCACTAGGTTGCCTCCCTCGTTCAGTAAGGGGCCCACACTTTCCTTGGCTTTCTTCTTGTTGCCAACATACCTGAAGAAACCCTTCTTGTTACTCTTGACATCTCTCGCTAGCTGCAGCTCCAGGTGCGATTTGGCTCTCCTGATTTCATTCCTACACGCCCGAGCAATATTTTTATACTCTTCCCTGGTCATATGTCCAACCTTCCACTTCTTGTAAGCTTCTTTTTTATGTTTAAGATCCGCTAGGATTTCACCGTTAAGCCAAGCTGGTCGCCTGCCATATTTACTATTCTTTCGACACATCGGGATGGTTTGTCCCTGTAACCTCAATAGGGATTCCTTGAAATACAGCCAGCTCTCCTGGACTCCTTTCCCCTTCATGTTAGTCCCCCAGGGGATCCTACCCATCCGTTCCCTGAGGGAATCGAAGTCTGCTTTCCTGAAGTCCAGGGTCCGTATCCTGCTGCTTACCTTTCTTCCCTGTGTCAGGAAAGCTTTCTTTCTTCTCTTGCTCTTTCTCAGCAAGGGGAAGAAAAAGAAGCTCTCCTTTAAGCTGGAGTCACAAGGACGACATAAAGACGACTTCCTGAGTGCCGGCTCCAGTCCTTTGCTCTACCAGCTGACCTACCGAAGGGCTGCCACCACTTTCTCCAGGTTTGCCCATCGGTGTGTGCCAGGACAAGGGCCAGCCAAGTGGATGGAATCTGAAAGGCGAGGCGGAGCCCTGCTACAAACCTTCTGTTGTGTAGTGGTTATCATGTTTTCCCAACACACAAAAGGTCCCTGGTTTGAAACCATGCAGGAACATGATGGCTTACTTTTCCCAGCTCCCTTTGCAGTCCAGCAAGGCATTCCTCCTTCTGCCACTCTCCTGTCCCTGGGATAACCCCAACCTGCGTGACAGAGGGTGGTGAAATGAGCTGAGATAAGCGCCAAGCATCAACTGGGGAAAGCTGGAGGATCTAGGCCAGTCACCTTTTGGAGTCTTTTGACTTGGCCTCCTCTGCCCTTGGACGTTGGCCTACTGAGGCCGGCTCTTCCAGC